TTATAAACTTTCAAATTGACCACTTGTGGTCTTTTGACTTTAAAATTGTTATCATCCGGATTGATGAACAATGGTATGTTTGGCTTATCTGATACCAGATTGATGAACAATGTTTTTCACACTCAAACCAGAGAGATTTACAGAGTTATTTATACACAGAGACTTAACAAAGAGATAGCTAACAACCACTGAATAAACTCTAACAAGGCCTAAATATCTAACTGTCTAACAATCCGTAATCCAAGTCTACCACCTAATGGTCATTCAACTTTCAAAATTTAACCAGTTGTGATACTCCTGGAAGGATCATGGGTATGTAGTTAATTGATAGTTAAAAGGACTAGGGTGATTAATTTGGACCACGATGGTAACAATTTGAAAGGCAAAGGACATGAGTAATCAATTTGAAAGTTTAGAACTAAAGTTGGCATGCAAAACCATTATACTCGGAGGACTCGAGATTGTATTATATAGTTTTGGTATTAATTAATTAATGCTGATCGATCTGGATCAACAGCTTTTGGGAAATTTCTTTTCTCATCTTGCTTTTGTTTATGTCAGCTTCAGATGTAAATTGAAGGCATGGGTTGTAGTAAGGAACCCATGCTGACCTATTCCAACACCATCTAAAAGGTGCAAACCATCCAATTCTAAGATATTAGAAATGCTATATATGAACTAATTTTAAGAATCCATGTCCAATTACTACCTGAAATTCATTTGTCATTTACATATTATATGTGTATATTTATTATAGAGTCAATTCCATGAACAGTCCCTTGACTGCTAGTATTTATCAATTTTTATCCTCAACTTTCAATTTAACCATAATTGGTCCCTAGACTATTGATTTTATGACAGATTTGATCCTTCGGTTAAATATTCATTTAAGAGTTAATACCCAAAATCGTCCTCGACTATAGTGATTTTTCTCAATTTCGTCCTAAACGACTTTGGTCACCTAATATCGTCCCAGACTTTTGTGTTTCGCTCAATTTAGTCCCAGACTTTTGTGTTTTTGCTCAATTTAGTCCCTCATTTGTTATTCTGTCCATTTGGTGTTAAATAAATAGACAATTCAGTAATTTTAATATTGGCATCTCTTTACTCATAGACATGTGAACTGCAAAATCCCTTTTTTTTTTACGAATTACTCCCAGAATTACTCCTAAAACTGCGAATATAAAATTTGATTTGCAGGTCCGGGAGTAATTCTGGGTGTAATTCGTACAAGAAAGAGGAATTTCGCACTTCACAAGTTGAAAGTAAAGAGAGATCAATATTGACATTATTGAATTGTCCCTTTATTTAACACCAATTTGACGGAATAACAAATGGAGGACTAAATTGAACGAAACACAAAAGTCTGAGACGATATTAGGTCACCAAAGTCGTTTAGGACGAAATTGAGAAAAACCACTATAGTCGAGGACGATTTTGGGTATTAACTCATTCATTTAATAAGCATTAAATTTAAGGGTATAAAAATGTAAAAATTAACTAGCAAAATCGTTGTCCAAATTTGCATATTTAAGGGTGATAAAACAAAATAAAAGATATAATTGCCTCAAATTTGAGGTAGACTTATCAGTAGTCTGGTCAAATTGACTTATGCATCAACTTGTTCTTCACATTCTCACTAATGATAAATCTAGTGTATGAAGTTTATGAATCATATTTGTCCATCTCGTAACAAGCCAATGTTTACAGTCTTGCCCTTAAAATAAATGCTTACTAAATATAAATTTAATCAGATGACCAAATCTGAAGCAAAATTAATAGTCAAAAAATCACTATGATCAAACTAAAAATTAATTATAAAATTTAGTAAATGTCAATAGTCAATGAATTGTTCTTAGAATTAACTCATTTATTATATATTTTTTTGAAACACTCATTTATTATATATATTCACTCTATTTCTGCAATAAATCAATGCCACCATTCAGGGAGATGGCAACCAACCTAGCTCCCCCAAAATGGCCTCTTTCTGAATTAGTTAGAGTCCAACATGATTACCTGATAGTAGACTACTAGAGGGTCATAATACAACAACAACAACAACAACAACAACAACAACAACAACAACAATAATAATAATAATAATAATAATAATAATAATAATAATAATAATAATAATAATAATAATAATAATAATAATATAATAATAATAATAATAATAATAATATAATAATAATAATAATAATAATAATAATAATAATAATAATAATAATAATAATAATAATAAGGTAAAATGTAAAAGGTTGCCGAACATTCTTATACATGGACTCAGGTAGATCCTATACCACTGCAAAGAAAGGGATGAAAAAGGTAAAAATATAGAGTAAGTGAATGAAAAGGAAAAAGAACAACAACAACAACAAAAAATAAAATAAAATAAAATAAAATAAAAACAAGGTGAAATTGCAAAAGAAATAGAGTAGAAGAAGACATTATCACTAACTTTTGCTTGCATTTTGCATTGCTACTTTTGCTGGAAATGTTTGCTTTACCAAATCCTTCTGTTCAAATTCTATGCATAATATACAAACGTAAAAACTTGTGTCAGACCGTCTCACAGATCCTTGTTCGTGCGACTGGTCGGGTCAAGATCAAATATAATACTTATAATTGGAAATGTAATACTAATAAGGAATAAAATGTTTATTACTTATATGGGAAAATGTATGTATTACTTTTACATTTTGATTTAAAAGTATACTCCTTATTTTTTTCCTCAAAAGTATTACATTTTCTCAGTAAAAGTATTACAGTTTTATATTGAACATACCTTACCTGATCGGACCCGTCTCACTGATAAGGATCCGTGAGACGGTTTCACACAAGTGTGACCCATATATAAATAGCTTATTTTGACATCTAATTCTGGTTTCTCCATTTTATAAGCTTAGTTATATTTTCCATTTAGAAGCTTCAGTTGTATTTTCATATGTTCTAACTTCAAGTAAACATATTTAAAATTTTGTATCAGATACCAAACTCATACACAAATTAAAAATCTATTTGAGTTCTCATTTGCATCACACGTTTGTACAATTCAAAGCTGCATCATTGATCTGGTTTAAATCTTTCAAATTGTATTCTGAAACTTATGTCTATTTTCCATTCCATATTTACATGCAATACAAATCAAAGATTATTTACAACGTGTGACAACACATCCTAGCACTGGGTCTGATATATTGCCTCCTTAAAATGTTTCAATGTTCTTTGATGATTTAAAAATCCCATGAACCAGAACTCATGCTTGTCCTCAGTAACTACTTGTATGTACTTCTGTGATGGTTTCTTCACATTACGGATCTCGTTAGCACTCTTTATTTTTCTAAGTGGGATCATGACTTTGTAACGAACTCTTAGCGATTTCCCACTCGAAGAAGAAGAAGAAGAAGAAAGCTTAATGGATCTCTCACTACAGAAAGCAATCTTGTCAGTGGAGATAAAGAGAAGGCCTGCAATGGGACCAGATGTTGTTGATAGATAGCACTGAGAAGTCTTTAGAAGCTCTTCACCTTCCTTAACATTGAAATTCCACTTGAAGATTTTGCTAACTCCACCTACTTGGAGAATTGAATTTTCTTCCCAAGGCTCAACTTCCCTTTTACAGTTTCAGTAATCTTGTCTCCTAATTTCACTGCAGAGTGAAATAAATAGCATTAGAATAATTTTGTCTCTTGGGTACATAGCCAGTAGAGTTATTCAAAATGTTTGTAATTAATTGTTGGACGGGGCCAGTGAAGGGCTAAGTCTAGCAATTGGTGGTTAGGAGATTGTTAAACGGAGGCGGTGAAAGGCCAAGTTCAGCACCTTACCTCTCGAAAATGTGATGGCGGTTTATAAAGGAAATAAAGTTGCGCATCGTTATTAGCTATAGCTTTTGGCTAATAGTGAGCGTTTGATCCTAACAAATTGGTATCAAACATACAATTAAAACTGATAGCTAGGTGCTGGGAGGGGGAATTGTTGAGCAATTGGTGGCGGCCAAGTCTATGCTGGTTTGGGGGATTGTTGGGCAGGTGAACAGCCAAATCCAGTACCAGCCTCTCGAAAATGTGATGTCAGTCTATAAGCAAATAAAGTTGGGCATAGCTATAACTTTTGGCGTAGTAGTAAGCTTTTAATCCTAACAAATTGGTATCAAACATGCAATTAAAACTGACAGGTGCTGGGAGGGGAAATTGTTGGGCAATTGGATGCGTCCAAGTCTATGGTGGCTAGGGGGTGAAGGGCCAAATCTAGTACCCAACCTCTCAAAAATGTGATGGCAGTTTATAAGGAAATAAAGTTGCGCATTCGCTACTAGCTCTACCTTTTGGCGTAGTGGTAAGCGCTTGGTTCTAATAAATAAGAACAACCAAAAACAATAAAAAAGAAAATGTTACCGTGTTCTGGGATGCCTTGTGCAAATTTATTCATCCTGTGAGCCACTGAATCTGCTCTACTACCTGCATTTGTTTGCATTTCATTATATTAGCTTGTCTAGCTTAATGGTTTTATCAGCTTTAATTTATTCATCTTCAGAGTGAATAGAACTTACTGAATCTGATCTTTGAAGGTTCATTGGACAAAGCCAGGGCATGGCATTGGGGTCCATGCATATGGCAAGCCAGAAGCCTTTACTGTGACTTCCCAAATGAGGAAACTGCAGACCAGATTGGAGTTCTTACATCTAACAGTGGATTCATATAATGGAAGTTTTGTGTGACTATTTGTAGGAGAAAGGTGTAGTGTTTTAGTTGCATGAATCCTTTAATTTTGCTTTTAGATCAGCCTTGCATGTGCTGATTGGTTGGTGATGTACAAGTTCTACTTTATGAAGAGGCCGGCTTTTTTATGTAAGCAACTTCTAATCTATAAGAGCCAGTGGCCCCATTGTACACCCAAAAGTTGTAATAGAATTGAATTGGCATCCCCATCCAGAGGCACTATTACGTGGCTTCGGAGAGACTATTGATGAGTGTGGGCTAGCTCAATTACATATGCAGGGGTACCCGTTTACCTGGGAAAGTGGAGAGGGGACAGTAGACTGGATTGAAGAAAGATTGGATAAAGTGCTGGTCACGCAGGAATGGCGAGATGTGGTGAGAAAGGCAAGTGTCTTGAACATTCTAACCCGACGCTCAGATCATTCTGCTCTTTTCCTTGGGATTCTGAATCTTCGGGAAAGGACGGGTGGTGGGAGAAAAGGGTTCCGGTTTGAGATGGCCTGGCTTCATGATGAGGGTTGTAGGGGTGTGGTTGAGACGACATGGATTGAAGGAAGAGATAGAGGTTTACAAGCCTGTATCGAATTATGTGGTAATAAGTTATTGCGATGGGGAGGTGATAAATATCATAGGTTTGATGAGAAATTGCGGTGCCTACGCAAGGAACAATTGCGGTTACGGGGACGCACAGATCAAAATTCATTGGCTGAGTATCAGCAGTTGGAGGAACGCCTGGCCCAATTAGAAGCTCAGGAGGATGCCTTTTGGAAACAGAGGGCGAAACAACACTGGCTGAAGGGGGCAGACGCGAATACAAAGTTCTATCACAGGTATGCCTCTCACCGTAAAAAGAAAAACACAATTTCAAAAATTATGAATGATAATGGGGATTGGGTGGAGGGAGATGCCATGAAAACAACTATTTTTGATTATTATCGAGATATTTTCTCGTCAAACCAGTCCCAGATGGATGAAAGTTTTTATGCCAATATCTTGCCCCGGGTGACACACACGCAGAATGAAGAGTTATTGCGCCCCTTTGAAAAGGATGAGGTGAAAACAGCCTTGTTTGCTATGTTCCCGGATAAGGCACCCGGCCCGGATGGAATGAATCCGGGTTTTTATCAGCAGTTCTGGGATGTGGTGGGAGGAGATGTGTCGGATTTTATTGTGGACTGTTTGAATACACGGACCTTCCCAGCCAACTTGAATGATACGGATGTGATTTTAATACCGAAGAAGAAAAATCCAGAACGGGTCACGGACCTCAGGCCTATAGCGCTAAGCAATGTGATTTATAGAATTATGGCTAAAATGATTTCAGCCAGGATGAAGCCACTCATGGATGATATTATTTCTGATACACAGAGTGCATTTATACCTGACAGATTGATTACAGATAATATTTTGATAGCGGCAGAGGTTGGCCACTTTCTGAACAGAAAACAATGTGGAAAGGTGGGATGGGGTGCTTTAAAGCTGGATATGGCGAAAGCGTATGATCGTATGGAATGGCCTTTCCTACAAAACATGTTAACAGCTTTGGGCTTTAGTAATATATGGGTGGAATTAATCATGTTATGTGTGATTACTGTGTCATATAATATCAAACTGAATGGAGCCCGAGGTTTGCCAATCATCCCATCTCGCGGACTCAGGCAGGGAGACCCATTATCCCCGTATCTATTTATTATCTGTGCAGAGGGACTATCTTTATTGCTACAACAGGCACAGATTCAGGGAGCAATTCATGGGTGCAGAGTTGCAAGGGGTGCACCTTCTATTTCACATCTATTCTTTGCTGATGACAGCCTACTATTTTTTAAAGCAAATGTGCAGGAAGCAAGTGCGATAAAGCAGTGTTTGACACGGTATGAAAATTTATCTGGCCAAGTGGTAAATTATCATAAGTCCAGCATATGTTATAGCAAGAACACACAGGATGATAGTAGGGAGGAAGTGGCGCAGATACTGGGGGTTACTCAGGCACCAAACTTTGGAAAATATTTGGGACTACCCTCATTTGTAGGGAGAAATAAAAAAGCAGCCTTTTCATATATTGAGGATAAGATAAGGCAAAGAATCCTATCTTGGAATAAGAAATTGTTATCGCAAGCTGGTAAGGAAGTCTTGTTGAAAAGTGTGGCTCAGGCAATGCCCACCTTTTCAATGAGTGTCTTTTTATTACCTATGGGGATTTGCACAGCTATTGAGCGAACAATGAACCGGTATTGGTGGGGATCTGGGAATGAACGAGGAATCCATTGGAAGGCATGGGACAAATTGTGTATACCAAAAAAGTATGGTGGCCTGGGTTTTAAAGAACTGCACGCATTTAATATAGCAATGCTGGGCAAACAGGCATGGCGCTTGTTAACAAAACCTGACTCTCTGGTCTCACGAGTTTACAGAGCGAGATATTACCCAAAAGGGACCTTTTATGATGCCAAGGTAGGAAACAACCCCAGTTTCTGTTGGCGTAGTATAATGGCAGCTCAGAGCATGATTTGTAGCGGAACGAGGTGCAGAATTGGAAATGGAAAGACAACTCTCATCTGGGACCACCCATGGTTACAAGATGAACACGACCCAATGGTTCATACTGATAAGCCCCCATATTTAAATAATGCAGCAGTGTTGGGATTAATTGATCATGAGACACAAACCTGGGATCCGGATATTTTGGCAGATATTTTTATTCCTACGGATGTGGCTAGGATAAAAAGGATTCCAGTATCACCGGACTATGAGGATATGTGGTATTGGCATGGTGATCAGGGAGGTAATTATACTGTTAAGAGTGGCTACAAAGCAGTTGTGGGAGATCTCAATGATAATACAGGCACGCATAATTGGTTACGCCTATGGAAATTAAAAGTTCCCCCAAATGGAAGACATTCTTGTGGAAGGCTTTGAGTGGTATCCTCCCTACTACAACGAATTTGATTATAAAGAGGGTGGAAATCCAACCAACATGTGCTATGTGTGGAATAATGGATGAAGACACAATGCATGCTTTAGTAACATGTGGTTATGCAAGTTCCATTTGGGCTCAATCTCACCTTCCAATCCCCATGATAGCAACAAATATTTTTCATACTTGGTTTAGTGAGCTATTAAATATTTTAGACACTAACCAAATTGTTCACGCAGCTGCAATATTATATCATATTTGGAGAGCCAGGAACGGAGCGGTATGGGATGCGTGTCTACCGCGACCACGAAAAGTGTTAGCCTTGGCCGAAGCAACCGCACTGGCATGGCAAAGAGTCCACCACACCCACCCACAAACGGACCAAGGGGCTGCCGCACAAAGTAGTGCTACTGCCACTGCCGTGACACGGCAGCAGCAGCACTACAACACGGCAAATGCCGTGACTGCTATGGGGATCGCCCAAGAGGGCGCACGGAACGAGCCTGCCGAGCCGAGACGGAGATGCTATGTCGATGCTGGATTCATGCCAGCTATAGGAAGGGCTACGGTAGGCGCGGTTTTGTTCGACGAGGAAGGGGGATATGTATCGGCATTCAGTGCACCCTTGTCAGATTGTCTGTCCCCGCTTATGGCTGAAGCAATAACATGTAAGGAAGCCTTGTCTTGGTTATGGAATCGTGGAGAGCGCTCAGTACACATACTCACGGATTGTTTGACCCTGCAACAGTATTTGACAAATCAAGCTATCACTGTTCGGACTTACGTTGGCTATGCCATTGATGCTTGTAGAGCATGCATTATTTCTTTTGATTATTGTTCAGTTAATTTTATTCCTAGATCAGAGAACTATTTAGCACATAGTCTAGCGGCTACTGCATTTAATTCTTCTACGATTATGTATTCGGACGATATCCCTCCAGACTCTATTTCTGAGTACCTTTAATATATGCCTTATTGGCCACCTTTCAAAAAAAAAAAGAATTGGCATGCTAGTTTTGAATGGCATCATCCTTTTACCTACAAATAGTCCAACAAATAAAAATCAAAGTGATAGTCAAATAGCAACTGGCCTACTAATATGGATATTGATGTTCCCTCTATTTTTAATTAAATAAGCAGTCCGCATGGCAGCTCAACTGATCATAAAGGTGAAAGTTGGAAAGATTTATCAAGGATCGAGTCTCACCAGCGGCAGTGTGGGAGCAGTGAGAGGGGCTCCTTGTGCACAGTAAGCAAAGGTCTAGCATCTGTGCTTCATATTCAGTTGAGTGAATAATTAAATAGATTAGTTGGGTGGATTCGGACCGTAAGACGGACGAAGAAAGACCTACATTCCGGTCCAACATGATAGTCTACGAGGGATAAATCACGGTAACTCAAGGATCCATTAAAAAATATACTTAAGTCTACCTATATATATAGTGAAGAAGAATTGCAGGATTTTTTCAAACAATTACGTGATGTTTTATATTTTAATGATTTAATTGCTTTTTTATTTTAATTTTATAATCCAATTATATTTCCTGTACATGTAGGAAGGACATAAACTCATATCATAGAGTACGGTCCATATAGCAACATAAACTTAGGGGTGTTAGCGAACAGAGCTTTTGGCAAACTACTCGTGTTTGTGTTCGGTAAGCGTTCGTTTATGTTCGTTTGTTAAGGTAAACGAACATTATGAACATTAGAGCTCGGTTAATAAACGAACAGAGCTTGAACACTTGTAAGCTCGTTTGCTAAGAGATCGTGAACAAGCTCGTTTGTGTTCGTTTACTAATGTTCGTGAACAAGCTCGTTTGTGTTCGTTTAATAATGTTCGTGAACAAGCTCGCTTGTGTTCGTTTAATAATGTTCGCGAACATGTTCAGAAACATATATTATATTATATTATATTAGTTTTGTAGTTGTGTTGTTTGTTTGATTATTGTTCGTGAACGTGTATTATTTATTCTTCACGAACGAATTGTGATCATGAACATGTGTAGGTGTTTGTTTATTAAGTATTCATGAACGTAAATGAATATGTTCGTGAACGTGCTTGTTAATGAACATTTTGTTAACGTTAACGAACACATTTGCAAACGTGTTCATGAACGTTAACAAAAACGTTCGCGAACATGTTCGTTAACGTTAACGAACACGTTCGTGAACATGTTCGCGAACGTTAACGAACACTAACGAACGCTTAACAAACGAACACGAACAGGATTTTCAAAAACCTTAACAAACAAACACGAACACAAACATTCCAAATTTCTTAACAAACGAACACGAACAACCTCCGTTCGTTTATGTTCGGTTCGTTAACAGCCCTACATAAACTCAAGACGCGATCAAAATATATTAAATAATTCTTAACTTTTCTCCCCAAATTCATATCAACTTAAATTTATTTTTCTCTTTTTATTTTATACAAATAAAATTAATGTATAAACATAGATCATTAGAAAAGCTCTAATTGAAATTTTTTAAATGACATACATATCAATTTTTTTTTATTTGTTAAATGCATTGCTAGCTCATAAACCTAAACATTAATGTATATAAATACTAAACTTAATATACATCATATGTATTTTCATTCACTCGATATTAGGTTAAGTTTATAGGGTTCTTTCTATATATTCTAAAAAATAAAGTTTAATCTACATAAACATTATATTACAAACGCATTATGTTTATTGTTTAATAACATTCATCATGTACTATATTCAGAATATTTGCTCTATATGTCTATAAATCTAAACCGTTATGTACAATTGTACATATACATTAAACTATATGTACATCATATGCTTTTGCATTCACTCTATAATTGGTTTATAATGTTCATTTTATATGTTTATAAAAATAAAGTTTATTGTACATAAATATTAATAAATTAAAGTAATGACTTTAATAATGTACCAATAGACTTATTTTTTAAAAAATAAAATTATATATATATATATATATATATATATATATATATATAT